CTCCTTAATATTCCACTGAATTTGCACTGTTTTATTGTGTGGATGAACTTTCTAAGACAAAACATGAACTATATTTATGAAATGCAACTTTACCTGATGTTCTGGTTTCCAAAGTCCATGCTCCATCTGCCATTCCCCTAACTTCCACTTTATCTTCATCATCCATCTTCTTGGTGTGAACAGCTTTATCTCTTTCATCACAAATATTCCTAAGGCTTCCTTCACTTACTGAACAGCCAATTTGTTGGGACACTTTGGGTTCTGCTGGGCAATCTTCTTGTATATTCAGGCGGCACATTTCCCTAAAGAGAGACAATGAGGCAGGAGTTGGTGGCGGCTGAAGAAATGAGGCTTGTGCTTGGGAAGTATATTCCCAGCCATCCCCATCAATCTTCTCTCTTCTCCATTTGAGGTTGTACAGAAAATCAGGGTCTGGGGTGATAACAGTTGGATCAGGTTCTGGTTGAACAGGAGCTGGTGGGGAGCTCTGTTTGCTTCTGTTGCGTAATTCTTTAAAGGTTGTGACTTTTGAGCCTGAAGTTGAAGCTGGGCCTTTTTGCAACATGCCATCATTTGACGATTTTCGCATCTCAAGAGGTGGCGACTCTGTATCTGGGGTGAAGGCTATCAGCCAGTCAAACCTATCTGGGCGAGATGCATTGGCAGGCAGAGTGCAAGGCTTGAGAGGAGGAAGTTCAGGAGGATTGGAGGAAATTGGTGGACAAGGGGGCAATGGTCGTGGAGGTGGAGGAGGAGGAGGAGGGGTATCTGAAATCACTGAAGTATAATCAAAGATTCCAAAGCTAACATTCGGGATGTTAGTATTGCTAAGATCAGTGCTGTAATATGAGTTGGGATATAGGCTAACATTGGATCCAAAACCACAGCTGCAGCTATGATTACAGTGGCCACCATTTCTCTTATGTCGTCTTGCCATTTCTGTGAAGGATGTTGTCCTGTTTGATTCCTTCTGTTCATCTTTACAAATTTCCTTTTCACTGAGAGTATCTAATTCATTTGCACCTGTTGACCTGTCTTTCCAAAATCTGGATCCTTCTTTCAATCTGGAATGCAACCCCTTATCTACACCTTCTTCCTTGTGTGTCCTGTTTACACTGATTTCTCCAATCTGAGAGACGTCAGACATTGGCTGTTGCTCATTCTCCAGAACAACATCTACACAAACACCCAACTCGGGACTAAGTTTAAGCAATTCAGCTTGGGTGAGGCCTGCTAGCGCAAGCAACTTTCGGATTTCCACATCCAGAGTGTGAAAAGATGGAGGCGGCAGGTGTGATGGTGGAGGTGGAACAGCTGGAGGCGAGGACATCGCAGGTGGAGGTGGCAATGGAGGAGGTCTGGACATTGGCGGTGGAAAGGACAGAGGAGTCTTTTCTCTTTCAAGCTCAGCAAGTCTCTGAGCTTCTAGACGGGCTTTATGACGTCTTCTTGGAGGAGGAATGGGTGGTTTGGGGGAGGTGAGAGCAGGTCTGTCTGTATTTAGGGTGAAGTAGGGCACAGGTTGTGATGGAGGAGGAGGAAGGGCAGGAGGTTTTAAAGCTGGGGGTGAGGATGACAATGCAGGCAAGGTAGGGACAGGGACACTTGTAGAGAAATTAGTAGCATGATTGGTGGATGTGACTGAGAAAACATGTCCGCTGATGTTCTTGTAAGTGTGTGAAACTGGGTGGGCACTCACATGCCTCGTTGGAGGTTTTGGGGGCCGAGGAGGAGGCTCCAATGGCGATGGAGCAAGTGAATCCGAGGCAGGGATTTCATCAAGATCAGAGGGGGCTGTCATATCTACCCCTGCATCAAAAAATTCCTGGGATTCACTTGATTTGTTGTTTTTATACAACTTCCATGGAATGTCAATGTTGTCCATTTCATCCAAAACTCCAGTGATATCCTCATTATCAAAGTCTAAACCTTCCTCCTGAAGTTTCACAAGATAAGCCAACTTCACCTCTTTGTTAACCCTCTGAAGCTTCTGCTGGTGATCCAATCTATCTCTGACAATCAGCTCACCATCCAGTTCCCAGTGTGCCAGCCTAACAATGCGGTAGAACAGATCCACTTTTCCCAACTCTTCTATGGAGTCTAAAAAATGGAGGAGATCTACTTTAATACATTTTCCTTCTTCTGATCCCTTGCTGTCTACACAGTCAGAGGACGGAGAGCAAGGGGCTGAGGGATAGCCTTCATCAGAAGAGCAAGGCGATCTTGCAGGAGTGTTGAGATCCAATGGTAAAGCATTGGACTGAAAGGCAGGGCAGTTGGAGACCGGGGAATGAGATGATGGATAGCATTCAGTGGCCTCTTGGTCCTGGGATGACAATGAAAATGTATCAGGACAGTCACACTCCAGATCTGAGCAGCTGCTGATGGATGTGGATGAAGATGAGGTAGAAGATGTGAGGGAGAAGTCCAGCAAGGATTTTGGACAGTTGCAGCAAGAAGGGACAAGAGTATCATCATCTTCGTCATCATCATCTTCATCATCTTCACCATTACAATTGCCGTTGCCATTCTCATCAACATTAGCATTCACATTTACACTACAGTCATCATTTTTGAGCTGACCACCCTCTTTTTCATCCACACTGCCATTGTCCTCCTCTCTCTCCTCCACTGGAATGACATGAGGTTGCTTTACTTCTGGCTTACACTCATCTTCTTTGATGTCTTGTTTTGGAACTGCCAATTCCTTCTGTGGAGGTGGTGGTGGCAGTTTCATTTGTTGCCTGATGTTTACAGTGTTATTATTGTTATGGTTGTGATTAAAAAGGCTGTTGCTATCCTGAGGTGAATGGCCATCACAACACAGACAAGGTAGGCTGGGCTCATTGCAGTTTGGATCCACAGCTGGGACTAGGTTTGATACAGTGTGTCCACTTTTTGGTTTTGAGATTGCTGGTATTGCGTGAGCACCATTCTTCTGTGGCCGCACCAGTTTGGATTGAACCACTGGGGCTCGTGCACCTTGACTGGGGCCCTTCAACCTGGAAGACTCAGGTGGTCCCCGAGTGCCACAACGAGGGGATGAAGATGCTGTGTTCATGTTTTTGTCCTCCCTCTTAGCCCCTTGGCTTGGTTTTACCTCCGTACGCCTATTGACAAACCTGCGGGAACGTGGGGGCACAGAGGGACGAGAGGAGGGGTGCATGGTGGGATAGTTTTTATGTCCTGATTATTATTCTGGTGTTTTTCTAAAGAGTTTGTAAACATATGGGGTCACATCTTGGATCTAGTTAGTACCTGAAATATTGAGAAAGACAGATTTTGTTTAGAAACACAAAAATTTACCACCTTACTTGAGAAATTGGACAAAAATTTTTTTCACAATTTAGCATCACTTGGTAAATATTATAGATAAAGTAGTACTTCTCTGTTGCTCCTGGACTGAGATTAAACATAGTATTTCCAACTTCTCAGAGCATAAAAATTTATACACTATTCTGTGTTACTGAAACACGTGTACTGTACACACCAGCTTTTTAGAAACTGCTTGCCCGCTAAGTACTATTCAATTGTTTGTCTAATAAATAATATATAATTTTAATAATAATGATTTTATTAATAATTTCAGTTATAATAATTTAAATAATAATGCTACATATAACGGTATTTCATTTAAGCATATTATATCAACATTATTCTTTTACTGCATTCACCCAAAGCTATGATGACCTCAGATAAGAACAAATTTGTATTCATTTGCGGAATTTGTACATTATTTTATCTAAATATATTCTCATGCCCATAAGAGAGAGAACAAAAACATCCTATATATAGGCTAATCAACATATCCTCTTTATTCTACTATACCAAATCTGTGCTTTTTCTCTGCATAAGGCACGTGGAGCAGAAAATCATAGCAATGACAAACGCTGTTTTTGCTCTTCATGAACACCGTGGGCAATGCACTGCTCGCGCCCAATGTCCTTGGATACAGAGGATGTAAACCTAGGCCTAGTGCGCGTTTAGTAAATAAACTCATGACTGATATAAATACAATACAATATTTGAACATCACGTAATCTAAGACGCCGTTGTGTATTAATTATTTGTTGGTGGCTAATATATTAAATATTTATAGAGTATAAAAATTATGTGTAATAAGATGTGATGACATACGAGTAGTGATAACACCTCCTCCGTGGACTTTAATGGTACTGTATCAATACAGGAGACTAAAATTTCACAATAATAACGTAGGCCTATCGGTTTATGATATATCTTCGAATACCTTACCGTATAAACAAAACAACAGATTCATCAGCAAAATCCGGAAATAAAACAAAACGCACATAATCCAGCAGACAATTCAATACGAAACAAATTACCTCATTTCCAGAAGGATATAAATCTCGACATCCCATCCTCGAGACCACACCCCTCAGCAGCATCTCTGCTCTGCCCGGACCAAACCGAGAGCAGCGAGCCCACAAAACTTGTCTTGCACACACTCATTCAAACACCTCCTCACACAGAAAAGTGCGTGGAAAAAGAATGTTGATCAAAGTTCTTTATTAAAAGCACATTTCTCGTCTTTCTATAATACAAATTTACAGCAATGATGGGGATTGATGGATGACTGGATAGGTGAGTACAGTCTAAAAATGTACATTACAACCTAATGTGACAGGTTTCCCGAAAAAAAAAAAAGTACCACTGTGTTCTGCCTTGGCAGATATTTTATCTAGGTATTTCTTTGCTTATTTAACTTACTAAATACTTAATAAGTTAATTGTTTTTAAAGAATATGTGCATCTATTCACTGGGATTGCACCTGATCAGCCGTTTGTTGGTTCTTATTCTCAGTGCAATAATAATATATACATATTTTTCCTTTCTCATTTATCCAAAGATGTTGAAAATACAATCCAAAAACCTGATGAAAATATATGGTTTATTCATATATATATACACACAGTGGTGTGAAAAATTGTTGGCCCCCTTCCTGATTCCACTGTGTATATATATATATATATATATATATATACACCCCAATGAAACACTGACATGTGTTGTTTATATGTGCAATATGTGGAAGACCTATGAATCAACATATTGTATTTTTCTGCAACAATAAAAGGGGAAAACACAAATAGTTATGACAAATAATTCAACTCTTGACAGTATATTTAAAGTGCGGATAAAACCTACCATTTACATATTTACTCAACCACTAAAATCCCTCCCTGCATCTTTATTTCACCCAAGTCTGTGTGCCTAAAAATCCACTAGTGAAGTCCTTTCCTTTCTTTGAACCATGGCTTATTTGTTTCTCTTATATATTTTCTTGGCAAAATTAAGAAACACAGCGGGAGGCAGATTCTTGGCATGCAGCTGGATGAGTTTTTGAAGACGGCGATAGCTCTCCTCCTCATGTTGATGGTATCGGATAGGCAATTCCAGAGTATCATACAAAGCCTTGACCCGTTCAACACTTTCAGCATCACTATGTCCGTAACATGCCTGAAAGAAAGAGGGAAAATCTGTTAACTTGACCACATTTGACTGTTGCTTCCTGCAATTATTTCCTTTTTGAAACTGTCCCACATTTTCTCACCTCTAGTTCTGCCCTCTGTTCAGGTGTCATGATGCCCAGTGCGGTCACCACCAGCCAGCTGCATTTGTTGTCCTGGATATCCGTGCCAATCTTTCCAGTCACTGCGGGGTCACCATAACAATCCAAGTAGTCATCCTGTCAATGACAAACGTTCTGAATGCTTTGGTATATTACAGCTAGAGAAGATCTGATAGCTTTCAGGCTTCAAAAGTGTTGCTTTATTATACTAATACCTGTATCTGAAAGAACTCTCCCATCTCAAGTAAAATTGTTTTAGCATTGTTGTGTTCAGTCTCATTTTCAATCCCTGCCTGTAATCAATGAAAAAAATTATCACAAAAATAATTTGTTTAATTTCGTTTAAAAAAAAAGACGTACTATATGCAAAACTCACCATGTACATGGCTGCAGCCACAGGGAGATAAAAGGAGTAGAATGCGGTTTTGTATTTCACAATGGCTTTGTACCTGAAGCAAATACACTGTAAATCAGTCAACGATAGTGAATTTGTAAATAATATTTTTGTCAGGTTTCACGCCATTTAAGTTGACTGACCCTTATAGACACCCTCTCACCTCTCCATGGTGAAGCGATCAAGGTCAATTTTGTATGGAGGTGCTGTCATCAGATCTAGAACTTGACCCAGCTCTGTCTGGAAAGAAGTCTTGAAAAAAAAAATATCAGGTTTTAGACAGCCCACATACAGTATGTCAGTATCTATTAAACAATATGCAGTTAATCATGTGATAGAAACTGCATAACAGTCTTCGTACATTTGTATGAACAAGCTGCCAGTGAGCAATAATAAGTTAAAATGTGTGCACATTGCTGTAACAGAGTAATGAAACTTTTAGGTGTGTTACCTCAGTAAAAAGCTCAAGAAGATGGACATAGTAGCGCTGTCCTCTGCAATGTCTGCGAAGAAGGCGGTAGATCGCCCCCTCCAGGAGAAAAGCATCATTAATGGCATCCAGACCAATACCTTCCTGACAAATACATAAACAACATAGATTAGCACACAATCCACACAACTGATATACACTAGTATAATAGAACAGACACACACATTTATATAAATAAAATATATATTGTAATAAATATATATTTATATATTATTATTATTATTATAAATATATAATATACTTACAAATACAATACTTATTCCTCTTATAAAAGTACCGTAAATTAAAATAATTTTGTCAATCCCAGAAAATGATTATTATGATTGTTCTTAACAGTAAAAGTAATAAGGAAGTCGTGGCCTAATGGTTAGAGAGTCAGACTCGTAACCCAAGGTTGCGGGTTCGAGTCTCTGTACCAGCAGGGATTGTAGGTGGTCACCATACTTGGCCACATGTCATGTCACTTTATATGTGACATGACATGTTTTGTGTGAAAAAAATACTGAAATAAAAATGTGGAATTGAGTTCTACTATTATAATGATGATGAAGATGATGATGAATAATAGACTTATCTAAGTTTAATATCAAGAGGACAAAATGTTACATGATAGAAAATCACTATATTTTTATCATCTGTGATCACCACACAGAATATGTAAGTTTTTTTTTTTTAAGATTCCACTTCAAAGAATAAAACTAAATTGACTGGAAATATTATTAGAACATAAACAAATTTATCAATACTCACTCCTTGTAATGCAATTTTACGGTATCATCAGCATATACTGTATCTCAAACCAATCATAAATCAATCAATCAATTACCTTCTTATACCAACAGGGTTGACCCCTTCTTGTCAGGGATGCATCCATAATGTCATCAGACACCAAGAAAAAAGCCTGAAGCTGGGGAGAAAACAAAATGTTTTGCACTGTGCAATTTTTTTTGTTTGCATTTGACCTTCGTTTGCAATTGACCTTATGACAGATAAATGACTGACAGCCCAAATTGGCAATAAAATCGCTGCACTAAGAAGCCTTGCTGCCATTTTGTCCATCAAGCTGTAAAGTCTATCAAGGTGTTGTTATAGCAGATGTCATTCGGATACTAGGTATCCAGAGTGGCTAGTTAATAGTTTTGTTCGTTCCTTTCCTGAAATCAGCCAGTAATCTTGAATAATGCATTAAATGGATCAGATTCTGTGACTTTTTCTCCATTAAATAAAAAGGCTGTACAAGTGAGTTTGAGTTTTTTTATTATCACTAAATGTAATTTAAGTGGTTATATTCAATTTTATATGGAGGTATGCTTCATTGTCAGAAAAATTAAGAAGGAAAAGTTTGGTTTATTTCCTCTGTCAATCTCTATCTACAGTTAGTGTAAATGTACACTAAATGTTCATCCAAGATACTTGTGCAATGATAAACTTTGATAAACTGCATTTGAAGTCATTTACTCTGAAATCATCTTGTACACCAGCGAGCAAGCTGACTTGCATTGTCATTAACCGTTGTCATAAGGTCAATTAATAGTATCAATTTCACACACCAGTTCAATGCACCATCCAACCAAAAGGGCTCTGTGAACTTCATCAGGTGGCAGTTCAGAAGGAGAGACCAGCTCCCGTAGCGAACCAATCACAGACAAGCCTCGGTTTCTCTTGCCTCCAGGAGCATTGTACCGAAGCACCTAAAGAAAAATTATACTTATTTCAAAAGAAAAAAGAAAAGCCAAACTGACAAATAATAAAATAATTCAATAGAGTGTTGTTTCAGAATGGTTTCAGATCTGTTCTAGAGTTTTAAACTTCAAATGCTTTGTCTGCCATCTTAACTATTTGTCTTCATGCAGATTTCCTCGCTCCAAACAGACTGGGAGAGGTTTACTCTACCTCTCTGAGTCTGTTGAGGGCATCAGTGAGAACTGGATCAGTGAAGTCCTGCTCTGTAAGTTCAGACACCAACTTTTCAAACTCCAAATCAAAGAGCTGAGCATCTGACAACATCTTGCCTTTCTGCTGGACACCGTTACTGCACCTGTTGTCACCCTGAAGTGATGGAGCACAGAAACATAGTGTGATGACAGAGACATAAATCAGGAACAGGCAAACATATGACATAGGGATTACTGTATCACTTGGAACATATGGAAATAATATGCTGTCCTAAATTGAAAATACACACTGTGCATGCATAAAAATCTGCAGACAGCTTAAATGTAGCGCTTTGATAATGCATTGGGTTTAATCTGTAGTAATAGACTGATTTAGCAAGCTTGCTATTATGTGACAGTTTTTATAAGGAAGAAATATTATATCCAATTTTAGGAAATAACAGGTGGAATATTACTTAGCACAATCACACATAAGCAATGTAAACATGATCGCATAAACTTTGCTAGCTTTGCTAAGAGAGCTGCATTAACATTATTTACATAGTACTTGAGATAAACCGGATCATAAAACACTTTTATCTAGAAAGAAGTTTACTTTGACTTACCATCACGAATCTGTCCTTGCTCAGACTACTGTCACACACAATTCTGTGAGCTTTTATTTCACCTGCAGTATGAAAAGTCAAGACGGTCCATGAGATCGAAGGCGTACCTCATATTGTAGTTTTTTGTAAATTTGTTTCAGTCTGAAGGCTTCGTTTCAAAATTCAAGTACCAAAATGCTTTGCGCATGATCTGTTGGGGCGTGTACGCAAAAGCTCATATGACATCACGAACGTCCATTGGTTACAGTAATCGAACGAGGATGGGCTCCAGAGAAATCAGCCAATGAGAAGAGACTATCCACGACGCAAAGGGTGGAGTGAACACAAAGGAACCTATCAGATTTGGCAAACTCTAGTAGCATGATCTACACCAGTTTATGTATATGACAGATTGACAATAAACAGTTATTTCTTCACTGTTGGACCCCAAAATATTAGTTACTTCGCATGGTTGTAGTAGCTTTAAACACAGTTCTAAACTGCTTTTGGACAGTTCTGTAGGAAGGACTGGGTTGCACAAAGCCTATGTGTGTGTGTGTGTGTGTGTGTGTGTATATATATATATACAGGGTGCGAACTACGGGGGAGCTAAGGGAGCTCGGCTCCCCTTAATAAGACATGGGCTCCCCTGAAAACGTGATTTGTGAAATTTTGGGGGGTCTCAAAAAATATTGACAATGTGTTATTTTGACGTGCAATTTCAGTTTTGTGTAATGTGATCATCGTGGATTATTATGTGTAATATATATATATATATATATATATACAGGGCCGTCGCTAGTGGGGTGAAAGGTGGTGACGATTATAGGGGCACACGACTGAGGGGGCCCCCCCAGCGATCTCAACTGACTGGCTGAGGCCAGCCTAAAAAGATTCGCAGGACAGTTGACGGGCCACTACTGCGCATCGTCACGAAAGCTTATCATTTGCACGTGTTTTTAAGGCAAAGGGATCTCATTATAATATTACCGCCCCTTAATCTGTAAGTTTCCACCCACGTTGCCGTCATTTTGATTTTGCAAGCGACAACGGTGTACCAGTTCTAATGCCATAGCGAAAGTTTGAGCAAAACATGCTAACTGTTCTGTCATTGGCTGCACAGAGGAGCATAGAACACTGTTTAGAGACCCAGCCTAAGAGGAGACAACAGAGCAGTGGATTTATTGATTTATTTACTGTATATTGCTGCTGCCACACAGATCTAAAATAAACATGCGATTTATTTCCCAGCTGTTACCTTCACAGACATAACTGACTGTTTTTTGTAACTCATGTGTATTTTTAAGTAAACTTGTGTGTGAATGAGAACTTAGTTTTGTACTCACATGCTGTGACAGCCGCTTTCTGTCC